ATTTTGACGTTTTCATTAGTTATTTGATAAAATAAAATATTCTTGACACCTCTTATTTGGAAGAACTTTTCATGTAGTTTTTTGATATGTAAATTTTATTTTTTATTTCTATACTAATTTGTAAATAAAATGAATTGAAAAAACTTGATATTTTGTCTCGGGAATACAAATGTGGCAAATAATTTGGGACGGAGGAAGTATTACTTATGGAAAATTGTTTATTTTATAAATGTGCACGACACTTGAGGTATCAAAGGAAAAGTAGTGGACCAGGAACCCCGCAAAATTGCATGTGTTACGTGCGAAATAATTGGGACAGAGGATCCACTCACATGCTTCACATTTCTACTTTCTCACTTCTCAATTACTTCTTCTTATCCCACTTTTAAGTTCTAACTACTCCTTTCCCAACCATCTAACTTCACCCACTCCTTATTATCCCAACTCTTCACTAAAATCTCATATATCTTCTTTTCAAATTTATCTCACTTTCACACTACTCCATAAGACTCAAAATTGCTCAGATAGTTTTTATTATTTTTATTGTACTTAGATTTTAGACATTAATACGGAGTAATATTTATGTTAGATGTTATGTTTTCGGTAGTTTCCATTCTTTATTTGGTAGTGTTAGAATTGTGTGTTACTAGATTTTACCCGTGCGATGCACGGTTAGAATTATATTTACATATATAAATTATTATTTATTTATGTAAACAATAAGTATTATAAAATGAATAAATAGAATACAACTAACTTCAATACATGTCACACCCAAGTACAATGTCTGACATTTAAAAGTATCAAATACGAAACTAACTACAAATTTTAAAAAACTTCTTTATATACAACATTTGAAGTATAGTCCTAAGCATTATTTTCTTCTTCACAACTTAAGATCTTTAATCCTTCACGATTTGTTACAGAGGAGATAGCAACATAAACCTGACCATGACTAAACACTGGTTTTTTAAGTAGTAGGCCAACATGCGATAAAGATTGTCCCTCACTTTTGCTGATAGCCATTGCATATGAAGTCATGATAGTAAATTGCTTCCTTTGAAACTTGAAAGGAGTCCTTTTATCGGAAGGAGTTAAAGAAAGTCTAGGGATGACAACCTCATGACCAACATGCTTCCGTGCCATCACTTTTCCTTGAATTATATGCTTCCCCATTCTCATCACTATTAATCTTGTACTGTTGCACAAACCCATGGATTGATCGATATTTCTCAGAAGCATGATTGGGGTACCGACCGTCAACATAAGCACGTGGTTTGGAACACCTGAAGCTCGAATATCATTTAAAAATTTGGGTGAATGTAAATCACCTTCATTACTCAATATTCAACTCTTGCTTCAATCTTCTTGATCAAAATATTATTTTTGAGAGTTAGAAACATCTTTTGTTAAGTGCTAAAGATATTGTCATCTATAGAGCTTTCATATTTCAACACTTCTTGCTCAATTGTGTGAGCTTTCATTCTTGTGTTGTAAACTCAATCTTGTTTGAGTTGTTGCTAAGACTTGTGTGATTTAAGTCTTGTTGGTTGTTGTTAAGAATTGTGTGACTCAAGTCTTGTCGTACGAAGTTGAGGCTTGTGTGATTCAAGTTCTCGAGTTGTATCAGTTTTTCAAGCACCCATTATATTGAAGCTTGAAGATTAGTAGGACTTTTGAGAGAGTCCCTCAGAGGACTGGACTAGCCACAAGGTGGTGAACCAATATAAATCACAGTGTACTTCTTCCCTTGCTCTTTACGTTTCTCCTGCGATTTTTATTCCGCTATCACACACGCAATAAATGTACATTCTAGCAAACAACTCGATCTATTCACCCCCTCTAGAGTTGCACTTTTGTCTAACAATAAGTGTTGGGTGTCAACATCCAATCCTAGATCGCTCTTTCGTTGTTGTTGTTGATGGTGATGTTATAGTTGATCCAACTCTTGTATATTATGATAAAGAATGTGTTGATCCAACATGTGAATTTATGTTCACTGCATTAGGTGTCGATCCAACACTTATGAGTATGTTAGCTTACCTAGAAGAACTCTAAGATTGACATGAACCAATAGTAGCATGAGTGTAAGATATTAGAACCATGTGGTACCTGTTGAGGTCAATGACTACTGGAGTAAAAACGCACGTGCTTGGATCTATAGAGGGACTCCTAGTCGGGTGCCAAGAGACCGTAATCTAGAATGAGGCTAGAAGCATGTGTTTGGGAAATTCTTTACAAAAGGTTATGAATCTACGCACATGGTAAGAACATGATGTGGCGATTGCCAAGGAAGGAATATGTTGAATTGTGGTTATCTATTGCATGCTGCTTGCATGATAGCATGTAATTGTAATAAAAAGTAGATTCGCCTAAGTGTTTACTCAAATGTTAAATATTTTTCATTTAGCTTCATCGTGAGCGGGTAGTGTATTTTGTTTGCAACATGCAAGTAATTAGGAACAAAATGAATCTAAAGCCCATCTTAGAAGACAACGCGGATGAAGAGATGTACGATATGATGATTGATGATCGCGAACAATTATTTATTTCCAAATAACTTATTATGTTTTCGGACATTATTCTCAAGTTGTGTTTTGAATTAATTACTAACCTTCGCACTGTTTGGTTTTACTCTGATGGAGTTTGAGATAATATTTTTTAATTGTTTGGAAAGTATATAGTGTTTGGATAATAATTCAGTAAAAACTCGGTTTGCTCACCCATGTATTTGAATTACGTCGGTTGGGGTGTAATTGTATGTGTGTGTGTGTGTGTGTGTGTGTATATATATATATATATAGGGGGGGGGGCGGTTCAGGTGAGAATGCACCTTGGTGAAAGAAATAAGAATAAAATCTATCCTTTGGATTTGATGCATCGTGCGACTCGGATTGCATCCTGCACTTAGATTTTGAGATAGTGCATTTTTAAAGGATTTTGGTGCATTTCGACATGATGCATTTTCAAATCATTTTGGTGCACCTAATTTTGATGCAATCCTGACCCTTAGATTTCACAATCTAAAGCACGAGATTCATTCTTATTTCTTTCATAAGATCGCATTCTCACTTGAACCTATATATATATATATATATATATATATATATATATATATATATATATATATATATATATATATATATATATATATTTTGGTTCTGGTGAGAATGCGATCTTAGGAGAGAAATGAGAATGAATTTGGTGCTTTAGATTGTGCGATCTAAGGGTCAGGATTGCATCAAAATTAAGTGCAACAAAATGGTTTGAAAATGCATCACGTCGAAATGCATCATAATCCTTTGAAAATGCACTATCTCAAAATCTGAGCGCATGATGCAATCTGAGCCGCACGATGCATCAGATCCAACGGCTAGATTTCATTCTAATTTCTCTCCACAAGGTGCATTCTTACAGGAACCGGCCCCTATATATATATATATATATAACTTTTCTTTCCTCTTACTTTTCTTCTTAACCAAATAAGGAATTACTTTAAAAAAAGAAGGAATTTTTTGACATTTCCTTTTTCTTCATTGTTGATTTATCCAAAACAACACATTTTCTCATCTCTTTGGTCTAATTTTATCTTCATTTTATTCTTCTGATTTTTTGAGAGAAAAAAATAAGAAGAAATAAAATGAAGAGAAGAATAGGGAAGAAAATGTGTTGTTTGGATGAATAAAAAATGAAATGAATGAAAATGTCAGTTTTTTTCCTTGTTTGATAAGAAAGAAAAAATATTATTCCCTCTGTCCATATTTTGATTACAAAATGAGAATTACGAGGTAAATTCTACGATTTTTGAAATCATTTTATTTAGAAATTGGTACATCAATAAGAAATAAAAATTATTTGTTAAAAAACACATCAAAAGTTCTACATAGCAAGAGGTGACAAAAATATTTTATTTTGTCAAATAATCAATAAAAACACACAAACAAAAGTTATCGAGAAGAGAGAGAAAATAAAATTTTAATTAAAATTGGGACGGAGGGAGTAAATCAAAATTGCTTAATGCTCTTATATAAAAATAATATTACATGTGTTACGTTTCTAAAAGATTCATATTTTCTTTTTTGTTGTCCCAAAAAAGTTGGTATATAAAAGCCTAAAAGCAATTTGTTGTATCACATTATCTCTCTCACTGTCTTTCATGAATTTCCAATGTATAATTTATTTATTTTCTAGAATACGTAGAGATTAGCTCCAAAAAATTCTTTGCAGACAAAGAGATCATTTAATAGGTATCTATTATTAAGAAGAGCACAATAATCATTTTATTCTTCTCTCTATTAAAACTTTTTAAAACATAATCCATCCTTAATTTTCTTCTTTCTAGTCCGCAATATTTTCTGTACAACCAAATAAGATAAAACATCAGTTTTTCTTCATTCTCTTCGTTCTTGTTTTTTTGTTCCCTTTGGTATTAAGAATAGAAATCATTCTAAATAGGACTAAAACATAGAGAAAAGTATCAAAATAGGACTTTCATGTTTTTTTTTTCCGAAATAGGACTTTACACCGTGGTAATGTGACTTTGCATTGTGGTAATGTGGCAGTGTACAGGTGCACATTACTAAACTTTTTTGGTAATGTATATGACAATGTTTGGTAATGTAAGTCCTATTTCAGGAATAAAAAGATGGAAGTCCTATTTTGGTATATTTTCAATGTTTTAGTCTTACTTTGGTCTTTCTCCCTATTAAGAATTGACAAAATTAGAATTAAATTCTTTAATTCATATTTATTTTTTTTGCATTACCAATTTTAAATCTACATATTTTTATATTATCAAATAATAAAATTGAAAGTAAAATCTCCCATTCCAATTTTATATTTTCAATTTCATATTCGAAAGGAAGCCTTATCTACACGTTTTTTTGTCTTGAAACAAAGATATCCCACTAATTCAAAGTCCAAACGGGGCAGGAGTACGGCATTAAAATGACATGACGGCCACTCGTCATTTCTGGTCTCTGGGTGAGTTTTGACGTTGAGTTAACAAACAACAAGCAGCTCGTTGGTTCCAATCAATTGCGCGTATATACTACTCCGTATATACACTCCCTTGGCCGGGGCTCTCTCTCTCTTTCCCTCTCCTGTCATCAGATTCCGTGGTCAATGGCTAGTCCGGTCCCGGTAACGAAGAAGGCGGGGAGAGAGGGCGGCTCTTCCGAGAGCGGCAGCTCCGAGAGCGGTGGATCGGACAGATTCGCCGGCGGAGTTGGCTCTTTCGAGTACTCTGGCTGGGTGTATCATCTCGGAGTCAACTCAATTGGCCATGAGTATTGCCATCTCCGCTACCTCTTCATCCGCGGCATGTACGTCGAAATGTACAAGCGCGACCCCCATGAGAATCCCGGCATTGTAAGTATTAATACCACACTCATTTTCTCCCTTCACTTTCCCCCCTAGTTGTAATTTGAGCTGATTTTTTCCACTTAATTTGAATCCAGATTTTTTTTTACTCCGTTTGTAGTTTTTCAGCTGTCTGTTTTTTTCTCTTAATAATCCAGCAAACAATTCTTCATGTTCCCTGTCTACAAGTACACTAGGGAGTGTTAGGAATCTTTAGGGCTATTGCCTCGAAGGATATAATCAAGGCTGTTAACTGAAGCTATACAGTGGGCTAAACCAGTTGAATGATGTAGACCTGATATTTTTGTTATGCTTGCCATTTCACCCAATTTCACCACCAAGCATGTCTGCATGCTTTAGTTTACTTGTCAATATCTCTATTTTACTGCAGAAACCCATTAGAAGGGGTGCTGTTGGACCCACACTTATGATTGAGGACTTGGGTCGTCGACGAGTTAATCATGGGGTAAGCATTTTGCTTCAATGTCCTTAAAACTTTGCTTCATTCATCTGAGTTTCTTTTAACAGGCTGTTTGGAAACCCCTCGAGTTAAATTCCCACAGTAATTGAAATTATATTCCTTGATTTGGAATTCTATAGTAGGATTAATATTTAATGAAAATCAATGGAATTCAATTCACTCTGATTGTTGAGATGCATATGCGGAAACATCAGACAGTAAATTAGAGACGATGAATGGAATGACAAAAATAGGGGGAATACGTAGAAGAATACTACTGGAAACTGGTTGATTCTCTATAGGCAAGCCACCGAGAACATGACGAGACCCCGGGTTGAAGCAACACCACAATCTCTTAAAGGAAAAACTATCCAATATTAAAAATGAGTTTTGAAAGTCCCATGCCCTTAGGAACACAACTTATAGAAAGAGATATATCTATAACCCCAATGCTTTGTTACCTTCAAATCAGTACCATCTTGAAGCCACTTCAAATTGTAGGGACTAGGATGGTCTAAAGTCGGTAGTCCTAGCTTTTCCACAATTTTCACGGAATTCACATTGGGGGGTAACTCCTATGGATGATCATGGTATACAGTTTCCACTTCACCGTGACAGCAGCTCATGTTGCCAGTCCTCTATAATTTACTGATTCATTCCACATAGAATTGTTGAATTCCATTCTTAATGGAACTCAATTACCTCTTATTAAAGGTTTCCACAAACTTTATTAACTTTTCCATTGGATGAATATATCACAACTGTTTTTTCCTTTAATTTTCACTTAGTTGCATCTTTCCTCTTGAACTTTTCGATTTTAGTTTATTTTATATTTTATAAATATAGTCTTCATTGAGATGATGAAATCTGATATAGTGTAGTGTCTTCTTTTCGGTTTTTAGGATGTTTATGTTCTGAGATTTTACAATCGGTTGGATGAAACCAAAAAGGGAGAAGTAAGTTTTTGATTCATTTTCCATCCAGTATCTTATATGAAGCTTGTATAAACTAGATTCACCGGGTCCTATCCCCACTTTGGTAAAATGTGAGGCCCAAGTGCACCAGATTGATTTATATGATCTAATGATTTGAGTGGTGCATTGTTACTAATGATGGACGAGCAAACTTATTACATAAGCCACCATAAACTGCTATGGACCATGCTTAGGGGCACCCCACATCTCACCCCACCTTCTCACAGACATCCACATACATCCGTTACTCCGTTACTGTTCTGTGAGAAGGTTGAGGTGAAAAGTGGGGTGAGAGTTGTGGTGACTTTAGCTTTTCTCAAACTGCTATAGACTGCCATTCTTTACAATTTTTTGCGGCACAGATTTTCCTTGCGATAGAAAGTTTTCAACTTTGGTTGGTGATTTGGATGGGATTTGACGTTAAATCCAATCATTGTATGACATAAAATATCTTTTTTTAGTGCCATTAACTCTATTACAATTGTAGTTTCTGGCCATACTTTCTCAACCTAATTACGCACATTGAGCCAATGCCTCTGTTGGAAACCAAACCTGGGTGAGCATCCCACAATATATTGGGGAGTGGTCTACCTGCCACTCAAGCCAAGGGAGAAGCTCGTATCACATAAAATCTCTATTTAGTCCATATGGAATAGTGTTCATTTCTCCATTAGTTGAAGAATGGAAAATTCTCGTAAATGTAAAACTTATTTATATTTTACCAGATTGCTTGTCCTACAGCCGGAGAAGCCAAACAATGGATGAATGCATTTGATCAGGCAAAACAACAGGTATAAAATACATTGAGCAAAGATGTATGCTATATTACATGTGTTTGTCAACTAGACTTCATCGTGACCAAGATTTGTGATCTATTACTGAGCATTAATGGCTTCCATTGTTAACCTTTGCTCTATTGACCTCTGCATAAATTAGCACATTTTTTTGTATTCCCCTCTTATATCTTGTCCTGGTAAGGAAAATTACCAACATAAGTTAGATGTTGATGCAATCATTAGTTCCATAGTACTACACAGTCTACACTTTCAACTTAAAGCATAATTTTCATGTGTCGAAATGCCACTGCTCAATGACAGATATCTGCCAAAGTAAACAACAACAACAACCCAGTGTTACCATTTTTGGTACTTTTATTCAACAATTTTGTTGCAGGCAGAATATGAGTTGACAAAAGGTGGCAGTGCAAGGACTAAGCTAAACTTGGAGACTGAGTATGGCTACGTTGTCTCTTATGAGGAAAAAAGATCTATATTTGTATTTAGCTCACAAGCATTCTGTTAAAACATAAACTTTCATTGCTTATTCCAAATAGCTTTTGTTTTCCTCAATTCCTCATACGAGTATTATAGAAGTAAAACGTAATGACTCAATAAGGATTCCTGAACAATGGCAGTATAGATTGTTCCACACACATGAATGTTTTTCTCCAGAATCTCCACTATGTCATGTGTCACCGTGCTCAGTTCTGAATGACTGTAAACATACTTCACATTCCTTTTTTAAATAAACCTGCCAATAAAAGGATTGTTATTTTTAGAAAGCAAAAGAAAGAGTCACTACTTTCTGGTGAGGTGGAAGTGTGGAACCGATAAAGAGTATCAACTAGGATAAGATAACTATTATCACCTATGTTGTGTATTCAAGTTTGATGGAATGTAACTTGATTACATGAAGGTTGCAACAGTGAGCGATGTTTATTTATGCAAAATAAGAGACATATGAGCTAGGAATTTTACTATTAATAGGATCCCAAAATCATGATGCAGAATTGCAGATATAATAAAAAAGCAACTCCCAATACTTAAGGACTTTTAAGTTGAGTTTAAGCAACTGTTCTACACCTTTATGAATTATATAGACTATTCTAGCAATAAATTGGCATATTGCATTATCCTGATCACAACATTAATTGATTGCCTCTTTTGAGTCTACTTATACTGGTATACATGTGATATTTCTGCCACTTAAAGTTACTATCTTTTGTTGAAGGATTAACCTTGAAGGACATCGACCTAGAGTGCGGCGCTATGCACATGGCTTGAAAAGGCTAATAAAAATAGGACAAGGTTGACAATTTGATGTACTTTGATGTCTTTTTGTGCCTGAGGAAATCTTATTTATTTTGTAGTGGAATGCTGTGGAATAGTTAAGATCTTAGGATAGCCACGCGCACACACACTCTCTCCATGAAACCCTATCCGATCATGTTTGCATTTGCGCACTATATGTGTGTTTCGGCTTTACTTGTTCCATAGATGAGCAGGTACTTCCTGTAATAAACTAATTGTAATATATTATAAATGTTCTTGTATACATAGGTCCAGAGAAACTTCTGCGCCAAGCTTCAAATCTTGGTGCCGACTGCAGATCAGAATTGTACTATGACACAGATGGAGCTGATGCAATAGAACCACATGAATGGAAATGCGTCCGGACAATTAATGGTATGATTATTCTATAATTTGTACCTGCTTTATATTGGGAATTTAGCTGTTTTATATCTTGTTTATGTTTCCTTCACCACATTTTCATACGAATGCTGGTACTTTATTTTTTAGGCTGAACCTTAGACTTTAACTATTAATAAAATTACTGGAGCAGAAGATCCTCATCCCAAAACTATGGGCATTAGTTTATGCTGGGACTTCATATGTACACCCAACCATTTGATTTTTCAGGAAAACTTTCTCATAATTTGTTCTACAGCATTTAATCTACAACGCACTATAACTTCACGACCATTGAGAGAATGCTAATATAATATTAAAGTACTGGGGCTGGCAATATGTTGCATTAGGGCCAAGTGTAAAAGCCTGACTTTTGATAGTTTGGTGGACCTGGTGGTTTGAATACAGTCTATCAAAATTAAGATTCTCCAACTTGCCTGTGTCTAGTAGAGTAGTAGATTATGATTTTCCTTTGATATTCTCTTTGTTTATTTTTAACTTTGTGTTCGCCTTTTTGTAGTGTAGGTGTTCGAATATTCGAAGATGTGGCTGAAGCAAAGGTATCTATCATCATTTGAAATCAATATTTTTTTAAAATACAGAATACAAAAAATATAGTTGTACTATAAGGAGTTAGAGACTCCAAACCGAACTTGGGAGATAGGCCTCTGCCAAGAGCCAAACTGAAAATATTAATTAATTTTAATCAACACATTAGCAGGCCAGAAACACTAGCAGGGCAATGCTTTACTTGCCAAATTTCCAGTCAAGGAAGAATACTAGGGCTAGCTTCGGCATAATTCGATCTCATATATTTTATGTTCTGCCTTTCCCCATGCATATTTTTAGATATTTTCTCATAGAAGGCGCTTATGTCTTTTGAACACATTAGCTGGTATTGTGGGGGTTTCAGTCCTCAGATCTTGTTTGTTCTTTTCAAACAGTGCATTTTTTATTTTTTTCGCGGAACGTCGATCACATTTATTAGATGAAGAAATATCCATAGAGGCATAGACAAGACAGAATGTACACCATAACTCAGTTTAACATTCAGATAGCCTATGTCAATTGGCAACTTCTTGAGGCTCGTCTATGATATGATTATACTATGGTTTCCAACATTGCAGCAGGTGGAATGGAATATTTTTCCTAACAATAACAGTACTCCATCAAGCTTGAACTTATCTATATGAGTTATCCTTAGCATGAGACTTTGAAAGTTAAGGTCATTGGGCTCCAGAATTCTTTCCCTCGATTTTAGTGGTCTGCTCCCTTAATCTGATCAGCCATTTCTTTTCTGCGGCTTCCCCCACCCAGCTCTTCTGAGATGCTCTGGGAGTTTGTAGAGATAAACACATATTCTTCCCCACTAGAATTTTCCAACTGTCTCAAAGCATCCGCTGAGAAAATAGATTCAAGTCATTCAACCTCATTGTTCGAAGGGAGCACATTAGTTTCATGGCTTTTCTGATCATTAAACTACATTAGCCCCCTTGAAACTCAGATTCCCTGTCTCCACTCTTGCAGTCTTGCCAGAATCATGAATAGATATACACCTTTACTGATCCACTCAATGCCTTAGATGCTTACAGATGGAGCAATACCCCAGAACTTGGTTATATATAGCCTTTTGCATAACCAAGTAGTTCCCATACCCAATCTAATTCGATCAAATGATTCAAATTAGGCCAAGTAATATCGACTTCAATACAAATTTAGCTAAATGCATTCTATATTTTGATGAAGCTAGACTGCCAATTTGAATTGGCTTACCTATGTCTGCTCAAGTACAGAAAAGCATAATGTTATCATCGCAAACCAAATGGGACTCGGGAGGATAAATCCAGACTATCAAGGATTATACCATGAGTATAACTGTGTCATTGTGTGTATACTTGAATATTCTCATTGAGATCCAACTAATGAACAAAATTGTCTTCTGACCCAAATGATAATAAACTTCTTTTGTTCCTTAACAACAACAACAAACCCAGTGTGTATGCCATCGCGCTTGTGATTCAGGCACCCTCAATTAAACTTTCTTTCAAGCGTAGCTGCAAACAAGTCTTTGGGCATGACAAAGTGCAAATCAGAGCTTCCAAGGCTGATTTGAGAATTCCTCATATTAGACTAGAGTAAACGACCCATTCTCATGGTGTTTCCTCTCCATTTTAGCAATCAGTTCCAATCGCCCTTCATCGATAACCTCCCAAAAGGAATTGGATTTTTTTGAAGCAAACATCCAATTTCAGAGGATCTCGGCACAACTACAGATGTACGGTGTTGGAGGTAGTTTCCTACCGGCTTTCATAGAATTCTAGACCACAATGGGTGATACCAGTTGAAGTCATTGGATTGATCTAGCTCAGGATGATATTAGTGTTTAACATATCCATGATCCATACTTATATTCTTATACTTCCTCTGTCCCCACACAAATTCAAACAAAATGACACTTTAACTTTGCGGAGTTTAAGAGAAGTGTAAAAAAGTGAGTGCGGTTGCAATTTGTTTAGGTGCAAGAGAAATGTTGTGAGCATAGTTTGTAAGGCGGCAAGGCGAGGCGAGGCGCCAATGTACCTTCATATCGCCTAGGCGACGACTAGGCGACATACATACCTACACACATATATATATATATATATGTATATATATATATATGTATGTATGTATATGTATGTATGTATATATATATATATATGTATATATATATGTATATATATGTGTGTGTGTGTGTATATATATATTTGTATATGTATACATAGGTCTTATACATTTTAAGGAAGCTTGACAGAGAAGACCGAGAGAGAAAGAGAGAGAAGATAAGTTTAAGTCTGTTAGGCTACACTAAAAGAAAAAGGGCTGCACTAAAAAATGGGTTTTTTCAAAATTTTAAAGGGGCCCAAGGCATCAAGGCGAGGTTAGGCGAATTAAGGCGAGGAAAGGCGACGCCTAGGCGAGCGCCTGGTCGCCTTAAGGTTTTCTAGGCGAGGCGAGAGACAAGGCGTCCCAGTGACAGCGCCTTATCGCCTAGGCGACGCCTTACAAACTATGGTTGTGAGCGCAGATTCCTTTCCTTAACAAATGAGAGAAGTGTAAAGCTCATTTTTGGACAGACAAAGAAAGTGTAAATTTCATTGGAGGACAAAGGGAGTATGCCTTGTGATAAGTTGCTAAGTGCTAACTACTTTTACCTTTCATTTTCTTGAAGCTAATAATTGCTAATTATTTTTATTAGACAAATTTATATAAAAGACTGCTCATATAAGTTCTTCCCATCTTTGAGTGAGTAGAAATTTATGGTCAGTAATTGCATGGTAGCATCGGAATTTTAGTAAGGCATGTTCTCCGTCATTTCTTATTTGCATCATTAACACTGCTCTCTTCATTATTTAAAATTTTCAGAGTGCTAAGGGTGTTCTTGTCAAGGCAGTTTGTGTTGTTGAAGCAAGTGCAGACACTGTCTTTGAGGTGGTGTTAAGTCTTGATCGACGCCAACGATATGAGTATGTAACTTTTATTGTTTTCTAGGAATATCTTCCATTGTCACCTTGCAATTTATGTAGTATTTGTGTGAAGGTGGGATGCATTGACAGGTGACCTTGAGTTGGTTGATTCATTGGATGGACACTATGATGTAGTTTATGGAACCTTTGATCCAAGACACCTCACTTGGTATGCATCATTTTTCAGATGGTTATTCTGCTACACTATTCTTATTGCACAAGTTACTCTGTCCCTCTATTATGCCGTCTCTTTGCACTTGCATAGTACTCAAAATTGTCTACATGACAAAAGGTCACCTACTTAATCCATGCTGAATGCCAACGGTCATGATTATGAGAAACATTGGTGATTGCACATGGCCCCTTAAACTCTGTCCATCTATTATGCTGTCCTTTTGCACTTGCATTGTACTGCAAATTGTCGAGTACGTGACAAAATGTCGCCTAACTGATCCATGTTTAATTTTGACAGTCAAGAATATGAGAAACATTGGTGATTGCACATGGCCCTTTAAAGTCTTTTTTTTTAAATAAAAAAAATTTACTCCTACTGTCCCGCGGGGAAATTCCACAGTTTACTTTTTTATTCAACTGTGCAAATCTTTGACCACTAATATATATTTATGAGAAATGATTCATGATATGGAATTAAGATAAAAATGTTTGTTTAAAATAATTTCAGAAAAGTATACATTTATAACTTTCACTAAAGTATATCAATTTAATATGGGTACGTTATTTTGACTCCAGGATTCTGTCATTCTTATTTGACTCCTTCCCTTTGAGCGGTTGGATCTCTTTATATCCCATCCAATGGCGCGTGGTGTTACAAACCCCCAACATGTTTTATATTTTTAAATAACACCCCATCTCACTCCCCCCCAATCACACAAACAAATCACACACTCTCTCCATTTTCATCTTTATCAATAAATCTACATTGAACCATTCTCCTGAAACCTATGTCACATGCTTAGAGTCTGGCGCAACACAAAGTACCCGTGCGACGTCCCAATGCCCATTATTCATCTTAGTTCACCTCGAGACCAACCTTTTCCCCTCATATACGTGCTAACTGGTTTAGCCCTTCAGGGGAGTGGCAATAGCTCCCGACCAGTTGTGCCAAGTATCTTGCATGCTCTCCTTCATAGTCAAGTCCCACACTAGTGACAAGCTCCCCAAACATAACTCGATTGGCATGCCTAACTCGGCCAGACTCATGCATACAAGGCAATACGATGCCTTGATGCTATTGCCGCCCACATCATCACAATCATGAGAAACTCTGGTGCGTGACACTCTTCCCCACTCAAACTCTAGCACGCCCTCGTGCTAGGAGAAAAACGACTCTGCCCGAGGATCTTCGTAATGATATAGTTCATCTGTCATGCATGGAATCATTACCCTCTTCTTAAGTAGCACACTTGGCATTCAAATCATCCCCATAGACGAAACCCACAACAAGCGTGTTGTCACCCCTTGGACAGTCTTCCCAATTAAGACGTGCAGCATTCCACACTCTTTGCCAACAAACAAACAATATTCATACGAACCGCTCTATACCATTTGTCACGGGCTTAGAGTCTGGTGCAACACAAAGTACCCGTGCAGCGTCCCAAGGCCCATTCTTCGTCCTAGTTCACCCCGGGACTAGCCTTTTCCCCTCATATACGTGCTAACTGGTTTCTGCCAAGCCTCATCAAGGGAGCGGCAACAGCTCCTGACCAGTTGTGCCAAATATCTTGCATGGTCTCCTTCATAGGCAAGTCTGAGACTAGCAACAAGCTCCCCAAACTTAACTGGGTCGGCCTGCCTAACTCTGCCAGACTCATGCATACAAGGCAATACAATGCCTTGATGCTATTTCCGCCCACATTCTAGCCAATGACAGGACTCATGATAAGCACACCCACATCATCACAATCGCGAGAAACTCTAGTGCGTGACACTCTCCTTTGTAGCAAATGCCAAACTTCTTCGCCTCTTCTTCTCTAAGAAAGTTGTTCGAAGCACCCGTGTCTACAAGAGCTTTCACGGTGTGTCCTCCAATTTTGGCTTCTACGAACAACTAGCCCTTCTTTTCGGACATGGGCATCTCTACCTTTGCCTTGATCGCGTTGAGGAGTTGTAAGGATCCTACTCTCTCCTCTTCCCGTTCTTGCTCCTCCTGTTCCTCAATCAATGCCAAGAGTTTTGCCTTCTTTGGGCATTCGCTTGCCCGATGTGGACCCTCACAAAAGAAACATTTTAGTGGAGGTCTTTCTTCAGTTTTGTACTCCTTGGCTCTATTTGTCTTCTCGGTTGTCTCTTTGCCTCGGTGGTGGTCTTCCCCACTCTTTCCCCTGCCGCCCTAATCTTTTGACTTTGGTTTCTCGGGCTTCTTGAACTTGATAAGGGACTCGACAATGGAAATGTCGGTGGTTAAGTCTTGAGCACCACGTCTTTGAATGTCAAGTCTAGCCCACTGCTGCAACCCATGCATAAAGGCAAAGAAAGTATCCAGTGAACTCCTTCACGTATTCTCGAATGCTTCATTTATGTTGAAGTCACCTTAGCTTGCCTAGGGTCTCCTCTTCCACATGGCTAGGATAGAACTGTTTCTTGAGTTCACTCCTAAACTCGGCCCAAGCACTTATAGTGCGCATGTCTTTCTCCATATCCCCTTTTCTCCTTCTCCACCACACCATGGCAATGTCCTCAAGGAAGAGACTTGCCATATCAACTTTTTGTTCCTCTTCGTAAATGGCGAGAGCTTGGATGTATTACTCCATGCTCCATATGAAGTTATCCAGTTTCTTCGCATTCCTTGACCCTTTCTAGGATTTGAAGTCCTTACCTCAGACGTTGATGGACTACCTTGTGCAAGAGCCTTCTTGCACAACACGAGCTCCTCCTTGGCGCTCTTTAACTTGCGCGAGACTCTCGGGCTCTTCTTGCATTGAAGAAACCTTGACCTTGTGTGACTCTTCCATGGCCTTGATTTGGTCGAGATGTCAAGGTAAACTTAGGTGATTGGAACAGTCTCATCAAGGCCATGGAAGAGTCTGACAAGGTCGAGGTTTCTTTAATACGAAAAGAGCTCGAGAGAGAGTCTCACGCAAGTTGGAGAGCGCCAAGGAGGAGCTCGTGTTGTGCAAGAAGGCTCTTGCACAAGGTAGTCCATCAACGTCTGAGGTAAGGACTTCATCTTCTAAGATTGATATTCCGCGACCCAAATCCTACAAAGGGTCAAGGAATGCAAAGAAACTGGATAACTTGATATGGAGCATGAAGCAATACTTTCAAGCTCTCGCCATTTTTGACGAGGACCATAAAGTTGATATGACAAGTCTCTTCCTTGAGGACACCGCCATGGTGTGGTGAAGGAGACAAATGGATATGTAGAAAGGCACATGCACTATAAGCACTTGGGCCGAGTTTAGGAGTGAACTCAAGAAACAGTTCTATCCTAGCAATATGGAAGAGAGGCCCGAGGCAAGCTAAGGCGACTTCAACATAAAGGAAGCATTCGAGAATACGTGAAGGAGTTCACCGAGGCACTTCTTGAAATCCCAGACTATTCTGATAAAAAAGCTTTCTTTGCCTTTATAGATGGATTGTAGCAATGGGCTAGACGTGGGGCTCAAGACTTAACCACCGCCATTTTCATTGGCGAGTCCCTTATCGAGTTCAAGAAGTCCGATAAACCAAAGCCAAAAGATTAGTGCGGAGAGGGAAAGAGTGGGGGAGACCCCCACTGAGGCAAAGAGATAATCGAGAAGACAAAGGGAGCCAAGGAGTACAAAACTTGAGAGAGACCTCCACTAAAATGTTTCTTTTGTGAGGGTCCACATCGGGCAAGGGAATGCCCAAAAAAGGCAAAACTCTCGGAATTGATTGAGGAACGGGAAGAGGAGAGTGTAGGGTCCTTACAACTCCTTAATGCGATCAAGGCAAAGGTTGAGATGCCCAAGTTTGGAAAGAAGGGCCGATTGTTCCTGGAAACCAAGATTGAAGGACACACCGTGAAAGTTCTTGTAGACACGGGTACTTCCACAACTTTCTTAGAGGCAAAGAAGTTTGGCATTTGTTACAAAAGAGAGTGTCACGCACCAGAGTTTCTCGTGATTGTGATGATGTGGGTGTGCAAATCATGAGTCCTGCCATTGGCTAAAATGTGGGCGGCAAAAGCACCAAGGCATTGTATTGCCTTGTATGCATGAGTCTGGTCGAGTTAGGCAGGCAAACCCAGTTAAGTTTGGGGAGCTAGTCGCTAGTCTGCGATTTGACTATGAAGGAGACCATGCAAGATACTTGGCACAACTGGTCGGGAGCTGATGCCGCTCAAATTCTAGCCAATGGCAGGACTCATGATTTGCACGCCCACAACATCACAATCACGAGAAACTCTGGTGCGTGATACCTATCTCGCAGGTGACCTTTCCTATTGCGAACAAAGCTAATGATGCCTTGCTATTACATCTCTTCCGTCGCCTGCAGCGGATATCCATATAGTGAAGACACCCAAAGTTGACATGATGAAGCCGACGAGTCCATTGCAACTGAACTAGCATCCATTGCGGCATTACATCAAACTATTGAAATTACCAAGTGGTTTAGCAAATTAATAATAATCATATTAATCAACCCATATTCAATTTAATTTTATTGTTCCATGAAAATAATTACAGATTTGGTATTGTATACCCACTTACTGACTCTGTTTGGATCATCGATGCACAAAACTTTGATGAAATATATTGCATTCATCAAAGTCATAGTTGCCTACCTCCATTTTCATCGGCCTTGATATTTTTGCACTCGCTGCCATTGGTTGTTCGACATTTTCTGTACACGGGGCACTATTTAGAAATATTTATAATTTGGGGATTCTGACATAATTTTGTCAATTGTTACTAACGACTTCCACTATGATGGATTTTGGATGGGATATAAAGAGATCTGACGGTTGAAAGCGAATGAGTCAAATAAGAATTACATAGTCCTGGAATCAAAATCACGGTCTGGATTAAATAATACTCCATCTGTCCCCAAAAATACTCTTTACACTTGCTATTTTTGGGTCTACTTAATTTTTTGTTTACATATTTTCATTGATCATTTGACAAAATAATACTCCCTTTGTCCTAAAACGTTCTTCCTGTTTCTGTTTACGAGGTTTGACCAAATTTATTTTGAATTTAATTTTTTTGATTGTCGGTGTATAATTAAAAAATAAAATTTATATATTTAAAAACTAGATCAAAATGTTCTACAAAACAAGAGGTGACAAGGCTATATTATTTTATCAAATAACTAACGCAAATAAGTAAAGAAAGTGATTAAAGTTTGACCGTGTGGATAGTAACTGGGAGGAACATTTTAGGACGGAGGGAGTATAATCATGCCTCTTGTTTTACAAATCTATTGATATTTTTTTAAATATGTCAATTTTTAAAAATATTTTTCTACGCCAATTTTTAAATAAATTGAATAAAAAATAACTTTAGTCATGCATTGTATTCTGAAGTGTCAAAGATTTTTTGGGACAGATGGCAGTCACAGTTTTCGATTTTTAGTAGAAAAGTCAAACATGAAATTTCCCACAGGGACGGAGGGAGTATTTATATTTAAGAAGTGAAGCGGTACAAACAATGGTTTTGGACACTAATATTACTATTTCAAAAGTATTGGGCATAAATGTGAAAAACTAAAGTTAAAATGTGACTAAATCAGTTATAAATAAGGCAAGCTTAACATGACATTCTAAACTTACACCATGACACTGTTGTTATTTGGTGTTGTCAATTAATTGTTTTAAATTATTTAACACCACAAATTCATGCTAAAAGATCAGTGGCAAAGTTTTACGCCGAATTCCCTTTGAGTCGCAACCTGCCAAAGGAGTATTGAGATGTATATTCTAAAGTGTCTGCCTAAGCTGCAAAGTGGTGGTATGTGACATGCTAGGTTTAACCTTGAAGTTTAAGCCAATAGTTAGGCTACACATGTAGTATACATTCATATATTATTCTATGCTTAACAATCTAGAGATATGAACATAAAGTTAAAAAATAAAAAAGACATGGTAATTCTTCTTAGACATTGCCACATTTTGGTAATGAAAGATCAGTATTGCTTCTTTCTGGCTGTTACTTATTTCTATTTTTGATCAGAATTTAGAAGTTTATTATAAGGTTGACTTTCATAAAGCAAGCACTGCCCGTGTAACACCCTATTTCTTTGGATTGCAACATTCACTTTCTCTCTTGATCATGGTTGTTATTCTGTGCTAATTGATATTTGATATTTAGAATGTGTCCTGAGTAGGATGAACTAACCATTTCCATTAAATTTCCCGTGTACAATTTAGTCCTCCTTATCACCAGCTAATTTATTTTTGCAGGTGGCAATCTAAAAAAGATTTTGTCTTCTCCCGACAATGGTTTCATGGGCAAGATGGAACATATAGTAAGAAATCTGTGCTGTCTCTTACACATTTATACTGATCACCCTTTGTACACTATCAGCATGAACCCCTTTACCATGTAGTAAACATGAATCATTTTTGTCAAATGTATTGAGTATAGTAGTATTTAGTATTCTTTTTGTTTTTATATAAAGTGTTATATCGGTACATACCCTTTCGCATCTACTAATACCATATTGTTTCTTCCCTAACAACTAGTTATAGTCTTGGCTATATCCGTTAGAACTAATGATGTAAGTGCTCACAAGCAACTCATTTTGAACTAATGATCCATTTTAGATATACTGCATCAATTTATTTTCAAAGCTGATAAAATTTGACATGTAGTAATGTAGCGGAGCTAATGGCAATTTAGTGGCAAACTAGCAATTACAGTGCTGCTTTTCCATGAAAAATATTCATAAAATCAAGATGCGCTTTTAATAGTTTCGGTCTCTCTACAATTCGGTAACATATTCCATTCACTATTTAATGAACAAAGTCCTACAAACCTTGTTTATTTGTGCAGCAATCTTGCAATTTCCTGCTGTTCATAAAAAGCTGCCTCCAAAATCTGGATATCGACGTACAAAAATTTACCGTAAGAGACCCATTTACTCAATTGTATTTCCATGATCATTATTGAAAAATAAATCAGATTAGCTAATGTGAGTTTCTGTTTTAAACCTTGCCTTATTCTTTAGATTAGAAAGTTGATTTTTGCTTAAACTGTTGCATGTTTTTATAAATAGAAATTGGACTTTTTTTCTTATGATCTGGATATCGTTGTGCTATGGCAAAGAAATGAACTTTTATATCTGTAGTCATGACTGTATGTACTGACGCTAATTCTTTTTGGAATAGTGAAAACTAATGTTTCTTGAAACTCTCACAATTTTTGCAAATAAGTTGTTAGTCATGACTGTATGTACTGACTTAATGATTGTGAACTTAAGAAGTTGTTAGTGAGACATATGCTCAACTTTGCGGAAGAAAGCAGTTGCCTAGTGGGTGTGATTGAAGTCAATGCAGAATTTGATTTTTTCGTTACTATCTCATGGTTGTAAATGTCAGACCGTCAATGCTCACAAGAAACTCATTTTGTTGTTGACGCTGGTTACAAGCTGAGAACATATTCCATGTGATTTCTTTCAATACTACAACCTGGAGAATATTCTACATTTGAGGATCAAGAACTTCTCTATGCAACTTCTCAACTTTTTTTTATTTATAAAAGATGATAATTGACTTTTTTCTCTTTGACCTGTGTGCACTTAAACTCTAGCTGGAAGCATTAACTATCACTTCATGCTTGTCCTATTTGGTCTTAGTAAATATTAAATTATAGCTTCTTCTATAATAAGTTATGGATTTGTTAATTTGTTATTGCAATGACGAAAATTATGTAGGATGCAAGATGCAGTTAATGTGCTTATATTTTATTTATTATTAATATGCACACTTTCC